ATTCTCTAACAACACGAAGAGCATGAGACACCCATTTCGCCACACTCTGGGGGGAAACGAGATGATATTCGGACTCACAATTTGGTTACTATCTGAACAACCATAATGTTTAGACAATGTAGAGATTGCCTTTGTTCTCACAATAATTCCGCTGTCTCATTGGGCTTTCTGGTGAAATGAAGCAAATTGGATATGAAATTGTTTTCGCGTATAGGACATAAAACGCTCAACCACCGTCATGAAAAGTGTGAGCTGTTCGCCTCCGTCTGACATCTGATCATTTTCAAGTGCTATTTTTTGCCTTGTTATTCCAGTGCTGTCTCCCGTGCTTCCAGGCCGCAAACCAGTCCTCTTGGGTTTACATGTATATTCCTTTGCTCCCTTCACACCCAGGAAAGATAAAAAAAGGCTCCTTGGTTTTCAAAGGTCTCTCTCCTACCACGCACTGAATACAATGCAGCTCCAGGAATCTTTATTTCACTGTGTCCAGCCTATTTTGCAGAAGGCTGAAAACAGATGTGCTCGCATGTGGTTTTCATCTAGCTCACGCTGCTCCATTTTTAAACAATAAGTACCAATTTCACAGGCAAGGGAAAAAGCCCACAAATAACAGCAATATACAATATTCCCCAAATGTTCGTTCGTCTGAACACCAACAACAGTAAAAGTGTTTCTGTCCAGATGAAGAAGGCACTGGATAAGCCTAATAACACTGGAGCAGCGCACAAGCTGCCGGCTGGGCGACCAAAACTCCAAGCTGGTCTGTAGCTCGGGCTCTGAGTGTATGAGCCTGGCGGGCAGGAAAGAAAATGAATTGCCTCTGGAGAAGAGCTTCTGCGGGCTGCCACTAGCTTTGGTGATGGGGAAGGCAATACAGAATTTCGAAGATAAAAACGTCCAGACATGCCAGCTGATCAGAGCCAGGGCATGGAGATAAGGTGGAGGGAGGACCCTTTTCCTCCCAAAGAGCTAAACCTCTGTACATGGAGAAAATGATAGGAGCCTTCACATTCTTAGAAAAACTATTTTTAGATAAACTGTAAAAAAACTAATATAAATTATGAAATGAAGGTTAGGTACTGCTTTGGTACATCTGTTAAAATGTTAAAAAGGAAAAAAAGATTTTCAACAAGCCAGCTGCAACAATTGACACATTTATAAAGGAACTCAAAAACTATATTTGAAGGTTCCGAGGCATATTAAGCACTTTGCCATCTGTTGACAGCAAAGATAAAAATTTTAAACCCCACTACACTAAGGGAGATTTTTTTTCCCCCAAAAGGAAAAAGCAAATTCAATTTTCTGTTTGTTTGCTTTTAATTTAAATAAGAGAGCCACACCAATCCATTCAACTTGGAGTTCTTATGCCAAATTTAGGCTTTATTAAACACTTACATACAAACTGCATCTCTATGAGGAGCCACAAATGAAGGATAAAAATAAATGACGTCGATCGTAATATACTTTATTAAATTATTTTTCAGATAAACCCAAATATAAATTTTGCCTCCAAAGGATGGAGTCTCTTTAAAACAATTCTCAAATGAATTCTTTTAAGTGAATGTTTATACTTTTTTTCTGAGAGACGTATCATTCTCTACTAACTCACAGAATTAATGCCCATTTTCTGTTCTCTCTGTTTCTAAGGAAGCTGGGCACACGAAGAGAGTATTTATTTTCAAAGTGGACATTCAGGTTTCATATACTTATTTCAAAAGGACAATATGTTATTTTTAAAAGATATTCAACTTTCATCATTTCCTTTGAACAAACTGTCACAAAACAAGAGAACCACTAGTAGAAGTGAGCATCCATTTTCCCAACAGGTATCTAAATCAATAAAGAGAGTTTAACAAGAAATAAAGTATGCCCCCAGGTAAAACTACATTTTGGTAATAATAGACTGTAGTGATATAAAGTTTATCATCTTGGTTAAAAAAAATATATATAAGCATAACTATAATCTTGCATTTGAGGACCATGAACTCATCTGTGAAGTCTTTATTGCTCTTTGAAGGAAAATATACACAGAGTTCATTTACTTTGTGTATATATACTTCATATACTTAAGTCACCTTGCCACTGAAACTGAAACGGAAACTGGCTTTCTCATTTGATAAGCGTGAGAACAGAAGTAATAGATGTTTAGTAATATTGATACTATTCACTGAGTGTCTTCTATAAACTAGACAGCATGTTGGATCTCACAGACACATCCCACCACTGAATCCTCACCGACGGTGGCGGCAGAACGGCGCCCTAAGTCCGGGTCTGCCCGACCGCCCTCGGCCACGCTTCCACAGATCTCAACTTCGCGAGACCTTCATGTTCCAGCCCAGGCCAATCGGATTTGGTTTTCTCTTTCATCAGACTTAACTTTTGATTATCCCTACAGAATCAGCTAAAAGAAACTTAATTTAGGTAAAAATTGGTTACAGATTATTAAAAAAAAAGGGAATACTGTATAAAGGCAGAACTTTGCACAAAAATTCGACAATGAAAGAGAAGAAGTAAACCTGAGAGAGAGGTCCTGGCTGCATCTGATAAACTGAGAAGACGCTGCTGTTGATCCTGTAAGAACAGCCTATGCAAACCCTTTTATGCAACCTAAATACTGATTAGACTTGCTTCTTCGAGCATCGCGCAATAAACTGTTTACATCTGCTGCTGTTTGCAAACTGTGTTTCTCTAATAAAACAATAGGCGCTTATTGTGAAAATGAGTTCTAATTATTCATGATCCTTAGTATCTAGTACCTAAGAGGTTAGGAGGGAGGGAGGCAGGCAGGAGAGAGAGAGAGAGAGAGAGAGAGAGAGAGAGAGAGAGAGAGAGAGAGAAAGGAAGAAAGGAAGAAAGAGTTGCTGAAGGAATCAAATACATTAAGAATAAACAAATATCCTTTAGCTACTTTTTCTGTACCTAGTTTTTAACTTTGAAAAAATTACAGTTTCCGAGCAAGTTGCAAAAAGCAGAACAGAGAGGTCCCAGGGCCCTGGGTACAGCGTGTCCTAACGGTCACACCTGACATAACCACAGTGCAGAGCCAGGACACGGACCCTGGTGCGAGTCACAGGCCTCATTTGGATTTCTCCTTTGGCTGCTTTCTAATGGTGTGCACTTTTTCTGGTCTAGAAAGGACCTTAGACTCTCCTCATTTTTCTGATGAAAAAACGAGAAGGTCAGAGAGGCTGAAGGACAACCCAAAGTCAGAAGGCTGAACAGTGGCAAAATAAAGCCAGTTCTGAGTGCGAGACCATCTTTCCTCAGAAGCAGTGTGGGTTGGACGAGTCCTCTATCGGATTTCCACAAGGGCATCAGCAAAGACCTTCAAAATTATCTTATTTCAGAGTTACCTCATCAGATGGAGGAGTATTATTTTCATCTATTATTTTTCATCTCTGCAGACTTCGAAAAGCTTTCGTCATTGAAAAACTGACCATTATTCACTTGTTGAAAAATATTTAGTTCTACTCATCAGTAATATGATAAACCAGACTGAAAAAATAAACACCCAAACTGGGCCAGGCTGATCACCACTTGAAGCCACAGGCTACCTTGTCACATCTAACCCCAGTGCAAGATGCGTCTGGCACAGAGCAGGCTCGTAACCATCGAATGAATGAATGAATGAATGAATGAATGAATGAACGAACGAACGAATGAACGAACAAATGAACAAATGGGCAGACAAATGAACAAACAAGTAACTTAAGTGGGATGATCATATATACCAAACCACCTAATTTTTTTTCTAAAGTGCTTTCAAGTAAAATAGATGTATGTACAGAAAAATACAGGGTCCAGCAGCAGGCTTGCTCAGAGTGTGGTTGGTGGGGCACCCGAATGTCTCCCACGAGGTGGACAGCACTTTGAACATTTCACCTAAAATGTATCATATGATGTGCTTGAGTGTGATATTGTTATGCTACAAAATTACATGCTTATAATTTCATAATAACAGATTTTCTAATAAAGAAGGGGCATTATTTGTGTTGGACCCTGTATTTTATTTTGTGGCATAGTTTTTACAAACTCAGATCTGGAAGGGCCCTAAGAAAACATCTGTTCTGGTCATTCTCAACCCTGGCTACACATTAAGAAATAATATGTCACCTAGGCTGGTGTGGCTGATTGGTTGGGAGTCATCCCACAAAGCAAAGGGTCACGGGTTCAGTTCCCGGTCAGGACACACGGCTGGGCTGGAGGCCCAGTCCCTGGTTGGGGCGCATGCGAGAGGCTACTGACAGGTGTTTCTCTCTCACATGGATGCTTCTCCTCCTCTTTCATCCTACCTTCCCTTCTCTCCAAGTAAATAATAGCTTTTAAAAAAACTTTTAAAAAAAGGAATAATATGTTAAGCCCCACCCACACATGGGACGGGGCCCAGGTACCTGTATGTTGTTTTTAAAGCTCCCCATTGTAAGTCCCTTATTGTGAGGCTGACTTGAAATCTCTTGTTATAAAGATGACACTGAGCCCTACTCAAACCCAAATTCTCCTTCAAGACAGCACAGATAGTGAGAAACAGAACGAGGCGGGAATCCAGGTAGGAATAGCACTGTTTTCTCTTAACATAATACACAGGAACTATTTCAAGAACAACATCATTTTAACTTTGAAACTGTTGGCCATTTAAAAAAATATTAAACTAGGCTAAAAACCTGTCAACATTTGAGCTCTTCCACGTGTACAGTCACCGTAACGAGTGGACAGACACACAGGTTTGTACCACTGCCCTGTGGCTGCCTGAGATATAAACGTGAGGCCCGTGGTTCGAGTCTTCGGCTACCCCCCCGCCCCCCGAGCTGTTCACCCTCCGGTAGCTCTCTTCGTGAACACCGAGACGGCCTGCAGTGGGCGGCTATCGAGTATTTAAACATGCATAAAACTGACTGCACACAAAATAGGAATCCAACACATGTGCCATATGGTTGATCAGGTTATACAGGTAGCACGAATTTCACACCACTGAAACCAAATAGTTACATTTTAAAACTTACCTTTGATCGAGTCGTTTTCAGCTCTCATGATGTCAATGAGGGAGCTCTCCAGGGAGTGCATGTCGAAGGTCCTGGGGCGCTCCTGCAACACAGACAGCCACAGGCCACGTTAAGACGGCATTCAGTCACAAAGGAGGGCGCTAAGGCCTGCTGCCCCGGGCCCGACGCAGATCACGACGTGGCAATCTCACGCCCTCTCTGTGCAATGTGCATCATTACTGCATTTTCTTTGGGACAGTTAAAAAGCACCAAAACCACAAGAGTTAAGTACCCCTGGCTTAACAAAGAGTGATTTGATGTCCAATAATGATTTCAATAAAAGCATTACTTTTTCTGACAAGGCGGAAACAATTAAAACCAGGTGAGAATGTTCAATATAAAAATAAAATTTGTAATCTTTCTCTGCCACTTAAGATCAAAATACTGCCGCCAAGCTTTCCAAACTGGCCCCAGCAGTTACTGAAGAAAGTGGCATCTATGCGTGCTATTTACAATAGCTCTATTTTCTTACAAGCCGAGGTATGAAAATAGTCACCAAATAACTGCGAGACCACTCAGAGGCAAAGTATTCCTGATCTTGCTGCCATTAAGTTTAAAGGGCAGGAAGGGTGTGGAGAACACTGCCGGCCGGCCCAAACGCCGGCTTAACAAAGCGCATTTCAGGAGTGGGTGAGGAATCCTAAAATACACAACCACCCAACTGCTCCGGCATTCTTCTGCGTGAAGAGTCCTACAGATAACTAAAATTAAAGCTCAGCTTGATAAGTGAAAAGTAGGAGACGAAAACATTTTCAAATTATATTCTGAGAGGAGGCAGCAATACGCGCATCTGACCCACCTTACGCACAGCACGCACACACAAAGACCACAGCCAGAGTATTAAAGAAAAGGAATCTGGCCCTGGCTGGATAACTCAGTTGGTTAGAGCATCGTCCCCAATATGCCAAGTTTGTGGGTTTGATCCCCGGTCAGGGAATGTACAAGAATCAAACAATAAATGCATAAGTACATGGAACAACAAATTGATGTTTCTCTCTCTCTCTCAAATCAATCTTTTTTTAAAAAAGGATTTTAACGAGCAGGATTCCATAACCTTCTCTTCAGTGACATTTTCTCTCTCCCACACAGTATTTTTTAACTCACAGATCTCCAGATGCAATGTATTGAGAAGGGATTTTAGGCTCCGCATGAATTCAGAAGGAACAGCCTCAGCAGATCGCTGATGCCGAGAACAAGGGGGCCGTCCAAAGGCGCGGGCACGGCGTCCTTGCCGACCTTGACCTAATATGTACTCCTGCCCACAATCCAACATCGTGACCAATCATAATAATGATAAACTACACATTTGTTTAACATTTTATTTCTTATGATGCTTTGGTAACTCAAAGACTCCAAAAGCAACATATTTTGTCAAACATTCTGTTCTCAGAGAGGTTCTAAAGTTTATCATTCTCGATTTACACACTCTTGCTGATCTTTTCTGCTCATTTTCAACCTCTAATTTAAAAAAACTAAAATGTAAGTGTCTGTGCCATTAGCAAATGGGTGGAGGAGCAGACACTAATAATTAAACCCAAGAAATAAGAGCAGCACAAAGTTCGTTTTCCTACCTAATGACGAAAAAGTCAAATCAAGAGCGCTTTGATTTCCATAGCTCATTCCTCAGTTTTGTGTTTTCTGATTGCGAGTTGAGCCAAATATCATAACCACTGATCTGTGTTCTAGGATACTTCCCGGAAAGTACACAACTGAAAAACAGAAGGCCTGCTAAATGAAGGCTCTTCTTGACTGCACTCGATGACCAAGGCATGACCATCAATATAAACCAACGGCGTGATTTCAGACACCGAGAAGCCCCAGCTCCCCTCCTGGCATGTCACGTGACCCTGGCACGTCTATCCTCTAGGCCTCCTTCCTGATCTGGGAAAGGAAAGAGTTTGATTAGCTCTCTAATGTCCCTTCCTTAGCTCCAAAATACAATGGCAGTCTAGCTTTCCGATATCTTTATCTTGTGTCCTTCCAAGATTCACAGTTTAAATGATGATGATGATTACAGCAGGAACCAAAAATGTGAATGAGAATTACTAATCAAAGTTTATCATTTCTGCCCACAAAAAGGTGAGGGTCAACCAATGACAGATTAATGCAAAATAACAAGCTTAAAAATCCACTTAAAACAATTCATTGAGTGGAATGTCTTGATTTCAAAAAATAAAAAGGTCAAAGGTTCTAGTATGAAACAAAAAGCACCGGCAACTATATTTGCTTCAACCCACCCACCACTGCCAGTTATGGTAGGCAGCCTATAGCGAGGAAAGGGAGAAAAGTAGAACTACCATTTATTGAGCATCTACTAAGTACCTACCTTATTCCAGGTACTTTATTAACACTGCCTTAATTAATCCTCAAACCTCCTTACACGTATCATTCCTGTTTTGATGATAAAAACTAAGACTATGCAAAAAGCCACAGTTCACTGCACAGTTCGGCAGTCCAGTCAGGATTCAAATTCGTGTCTCACTCCAGAGCAAGTGTGCTTCCATGGGTAAGGTCATGGCCATAGCAGTCCAAGGCCCACTCTAATTAAGGCATACATTTGAGTAAATGAGACACTCTGCTGTAAGGGGCAAGGGGACAGGAATGCTGGCTGGTGCCCGACACACAGCAGGCACTCAAATATTACTCACTAAACAAAAGAACAAAATGTATGTATAAGAGTAATAAAGGGTGATATTGGAGATGCTAAAAACATAAGAAGAGAAAGAGAAGCTGTATCTTCCATCTCCTATTGGGATGTCAGACATAATATCCCACAGTAATAATATCAGCAGCTAACATCTATCTAGTGCTAATGCTTCACATGTCTCTTATTTATTACTGACAAAAATCCTACACAATCAGGTATGTTCAGTTATTATCCCATTTCACAGATGAAGAAACTGAAGCTTAGAGTGATTAATAACTTTGTCGATATCAGGTAAGTGAAGGAGGCAGAATCTGAAGGAGGAACCAGGCCTTATTGATACTGGAACACATAGTTAATAATCATGAATGAAAATAAAAGAGCACCAATTATTTTCAAGGCTCAGCAGAGCAAACATGGTTATAATGCTTAGAACCCATTTCATGATCTTAACTGTTATATTTTCATTATAGCAATTTCAATTATCATCTTAATATAATATATTGAGTTGTGTGGCAGTAACTGATTGGTTTCCGTTTCCACCATTTCTACTTCACAGGACAATTCCTCAAGGAAAAATCATACAAGTCACTATAAAAATCAAAATTGATAAAAATAACTTTCTGAAAACAGGACCTGTCCTTTCGTGACACACATCTGAGTGGACCTGTCACGGCAAAGAGGAAGCACTGCGTCGGCACGTGACCGATGACACGGCAGGGTGCTCACGGCATTCCAGACGGGGCCGCGAGACGTGCACGAACCACGCAGTGCGTTACTGTCAGAAAGAACCACCAGATTCAGTTCAGCCGCAAGTCGAAACCGTCCTTTGTGGTTTGGGGTTTTTGCCATTGTTCGTGTTCAGACGGATCATCGAGGCCAGTGTATCTCATGCTTGAGAGGAAATCAGAATCATCTGGAGGTCTTGTCCAAACACGGATTCCTGGGTCTACCCCCAAAGTTTCTCTTCCAGGGGCTCCAGGTAGGGTCCGAGAATTCACATCGCTAACAAGTTTTCAAGTGAAGCTGAGGACCATCACACTGGCAGGACCACTGAGTTAAGCAATTGCATTCAACAGGCTAACTTCATTAGGCACTCGGGGGTGTGACTGGTAGCTTACTTACATCCTGGCGGGCCAGTCATGATATCGTTGAGCTTAAATATTTCACATAAACCATTTTAAGGTTTCCTTATGAAGAGAAGGACTTTGCTCTCAAAACCCAAACAAAGCCTTCTGTTCCTTGCTCTAAGGTCATAACTTGGGGAAAAAATTACAATCAAGTTCAATTTCAACAAATCAGCCACCATGACCATTCCATTACTGACTCTTGTGCTTTTATACTTGAGTTCATGTGTTTCGACATACTCGACTGGGTCCAAAACAAAATATAATTAAGTGAATGTGGCCACATCATTAAGAACCAAAGCCAAAATTCAGCTACTCCCCGTACTCATTCTGTTCCTGCAAAGGCCGACATTACTGTGATGGACACTTCTCAGATTACCATGTATCTGTACCAGCCTATGGAAGTTTCTCTCACTGGCTTAAATTTTGCCTGGTGAACAAGGGAAAGGAAGATACTTTGTTTTGAAGGTAAAGTCTATGCCAGTGTGCCAAAGAGGTGCCTAAATAAATAGGAAGTTTGAGATGCCAGTAGGGCTGTAATTAATCAAAGGTCACTAACTATAAGAGTTTTTATCTAAGATTTTCCAAAATGTAAATATTCTTCTTGGCTTGAATATTTAAACCCACAGACATTAAAGGTTAACCACATGGTCAACTTCCAAGATTCCACTCCCAGGTGACCCTCACATTCCTGTATGGGCACAAGTCCCTTTCCCCCCCATGTCCCCCTAGCATGCTGACATCCTACATGATATCGACAAGCTCTTCTTTGGCGGTCTCCCCACTGGGCTGTGAGCTCCACGCATCCCGGCAGTCACAGACTGCAGCATACGAGCGGCATACAGTAAATCCATCATCACTGTCACCACCAGTATAAGCGGCTAACACGTTCCTTCTGACCTACTGTTGCGCATCTTACATGAGTTACATATCATTTACACAGATTAGCCCCTCACAGGCCTCACGTGAGGTGGGTACTATCATCATCCCCAGTTTAGGCAGTGAAGCTGGGAGAAGTTAACTAATTGCCATCAAAGCCCCACAATAAGCAGTGCAGTCTGACCTCAGGGCAGAAAGCTCAGAGAAGTGGACCATTTAGATGAGTCTTGTCTAACACCTAGAAATTTCAGTCTATTAACACCTGCAAGACAGGAAATCCTTCACTACATACAGGGCCCACATACAGGGCCTTCACTACATACAGAGCCCATTTAAGGAGGTAGGCAGGTAACTACTAAAATTCATCCCCAAGGAATGAAGGAATGTCCACCA